CTTTAAAGTTACAGTCCACATGAAATATTATAATGCATCATGACTTAATAAATTTGACTTGCACAAGTTTCATCTCTTATGGTTGAATAGTTCTTCATGGGTGGTCCCTAAGACCCAGGGGTTGGGGAATTTCCCCATGATGTACTCAGAGGATGTACTCCCGGCAGGGGTAGAAACTCCCTAAAATTACAACTCGCAAATAATTGTGAGTACCAAAAATACAAACATGCAATTTTAAAATGAAAGCTTTATAAACATGAACCTCCATCTATCCAACTTTTAAAAAACTTCTTAATTTTCGAGCCCCGTGGGGATCCGGGTTAGAGTAGGTCCTCAGTACCCCCTTGCTTGTCGTAAAAGGCGACTAAATGGGGTAGCCCTCCGATGAGACCGTATAAACCGAGCCCCGTGACACAGCAGGTGTGGCAGGATAAAGATCCCTCCCTGCTCAAAGGCCATAAGTGCCGAGCATAGGCCTAAATTTGCAGCCCTTCACCGGCAATGGTGACGTCTCCATATCAGTGAAATATTCTGGAGAGGGACGTTAAACAGTATACAATCAATCAATCTTAATTTTCGACATGATCATCAAACATTTCATATGCTCCTTCATTTTGAATTTATGGATATAATCAGTAGCTTAAGAGAGAAAGACTAAAATGGGATATTTTTTCCTGAGTGAAATTTACAATGAAAAAGACAACTCGCAAATTTTTGTGAGTTACAAAATTTTAAACTTGTAATCAGGAGACTCTAACTCACATTTTGTGAGTTGTACATAGTGAATTTCCAACCCTAAGTCCCCTTTGTATTCCTCCTAAACTCCTCAGTAGGAGGGAACCCCAATCCCCTTCTTCTTTTTAAATATCCTCTTCTATTTTAATTCTAGGGACAACCCTGTTCTTCAGAAGAAGATACAAGTATACAAATGTTGCCACCAAATTTCAATTTTCTTAAAGTGAAATTGTCCTTCATACAAACCTTCACCCTATGGAAAAAAGTTACTTGAGCCTTTGGCCCTAGAATGTGGATTTACATCTGACTTACTATTCTGTTTAGGACAGTTAATTCTGAAGAAATGATTGTTTCCCAGAGTATTCTGTCTCCGTTCTTCACTTTGGTCTTTTTGGTGATGACAGAACCATTCACACAAGTTCTGTAATGCAAAATCATAAGATTCCTTGTTCACACCATGTTTGTAATTATATTGTCAACTGCCAGACATCTACCAATAATATTTTGTTGATGCCAATTCAAAAGATTTGAACATACGATAAAATCACTGATGCTACTACTCAGATACATAGAACCTAGCAACTTCATTCGACATTTGGATTATCATTTTTCTGTATGATTATGTTAGCCACAAATGTATAACACCTAAGGTTGAAATTCCTTCTTGCAGGCTTTGACAGTTAAAATGATCTTAGATTAAAATTCAGTCATATTATTAAGTTTAAACTCAAACCATCTCCAGATTTATTTTATGGTTCTTGTTAAGAAAAAGGAGGCCCATGGGCTTTAATGGTCACCTGAGTATATCACAATATAAAGAATCCATAGAAGTATAAAATGAGATAAATGGATAGATGAAGATATGTTGCTAAAGGACAAAAAATATTGGATGATCATGGATCAACAAAATGGTTATTATAGTCACTGATAGTACAGTGTACTTGGTAATATATCTTAGGGCAGAACTATCAGTTTGTGTAGAAATTTCTATTTTTAGTAGCCTCTACAACTTCATTCCTCAAATCATCCTTTTATAAATACTTCAGCAAGTGACCTTGAATTTGCTTGAATGACCTAGAGTTAAGGTCATAACACATCCTCAGCTTTTGAACAATCTAAATTGTACCATTAAATGTGAGCTTTCAGAGATCCTCAGTAACAGTTAAAGCCCAGACAAAATGAGATTATGTATGTCAATAAATTACTTGATATGTATACCAATTATTATATTGAAATCCAACCAAAATTGTAAAGGCAAAAGCATTTTTAAACATCATTTTTTTCTATTTTTAGTATCCATCGCAATACCGTTTGTTAAAATCAAACAGATAAATGGAACAGTGCTCCAAGTTGTGACTTATGGTAGTCACATTTATGACAATAAAATATATTTGAATCTTTTAGAGTTGTATTTCATGGCAATAACCTGCAATATATCTGTTCAGCTTTTTTCCAATCCCTTTTTTCATTCTGTTTCTTCAGTTACTGTCTCTTTCAGACCTTACATTTTACATGCAGTGATGACCAGGAGATTCTATACCTAGTCAGTACTGCCCACTGCTTGTTCTTACCAAGCTCGGGTTCTTGTGGCTGCTCTCTATCTGGTCTGGTAGAGTTATTGATTTACCAGACTTCCTACTTCCATTTACTTATCACTTGGACTTTTTAGGGCTATGCTTAATCAATCTCATGAAAAGCAATAATTGCTAATCTCATGATTTGCTGTCACACAACCATTTTGTCCTCATTGAGGCAAACTTTACCATGTGGAGATAAAACTGTGATTAGAATACCTAATAAGTTCAGAGTTTCACAACAAATCTGACTTTGTAAAGCACTTTTCCAATTCAATACAGTTGATAGAGAATCTGATTTACATGTTAATTAACAAACTAAGTGGATTACCTCTCAACAAAAGCTGGATAATTTTAAAATCAATTTTCTTAGTTATTTCTGTGCACACTATCCAGTGTTCATTCAAATGTCACTGTCTGAATAATAGAAATGCCCTTTTTTAAAAAAAAAAATTGACAGGAAAATATTCCTTATGATATAATCAAGGCAGAACTCCTTCTTACAAATTTACCATTGTGCACTGGCACCAGCCTTAGGATAGGCAAAGAATAAGATTTAAGTCTTAAAAATAACTGGTCAATATTAAGAAAAAAACATGCACATACTTATTTAGTAATTCACCAGTTAACTAAATATTGCATGCATTTGATCCACACTTTAATGATAAGTGTCCCTTAACATGCAGCCAAAGAAATTTGCATCTCAGGTTCCTTTTGTCTCTAAAACAATTTTCATAGTCATACTCTACTGTCCAAGTCCACTGTGTGGAAATGTTTTGAGCATGGTATAGCTAATGGAAAAGGATATTTGCTACAGCTATATCATACATATCATTCTTCTTTTGAGGAAAAAACTAGCAATTACATATGCACAATGAAAAAAAACAAGAAGTCTGTGAGCCAGTGCTCACTTGCAATACCCCCCCACTCTGATGTGAATATATACACTATTATAATGTTGATATACACAAGTTCAGTTACAGACAGACATTCTGGTAAGAAGAAGTCAACATCGGATTTGAAGAAAAATGAATCCCAACATATGGCATGCCTAAACAAAGAGTGTGCTAAAATTTCAAGCATCTGCAATGAGTAGTTGCTGAGAAAACTGCGATGAAAATTTGTTATGTATGGTAATGAAAGACCCACGGATAAACAGGAAGTTGACATCGGATTTGAACAAAAATGAATCCCAACACATGGCATGCCTAAACAAAGAATGTACTAAAATTTTTAGCATCTGAGATGAGTAGTTGCTGAGAAAACTGTGACGAAAATTTGTTATGTATGGTACAGAAAGAAGCATGGATGAACAAGAAGTTGACATCGAATTCGAACAAAAAATGAATTCCAACATATGGCATGTCTAAGCAAAGAATGTACTAAAACTTTTAGCATCTGAGGTGAGTAGCTGGTGAGAAAATTGCGATGAAAAATTTGTTACAGATAGACACATGGACAGACATACAAGGGTAATACAGTATACCCTCCTCTCCTTCAGAGCGGGGGTATGAAACAAACACCCAACTTTAGTGATTTACCCATGCAGAAACAAATGGGAATTTTCAAGTGTATTTGTATTACAGGTTTTGCCTGTGTTTAGGGCCCCGATCACTACGGGTCTAGTTCAATGCTCTTCATATTGAGCTTAACCACAAAAAATGAACACCTGCTAATAGCAAAACTGACCAACTGTCTCTCTATAGACCATTGATAAAATAATTTTCTGAACATCCAGTCAGAAGGCAGACATGACAAACACTATATGCTCAGTCATATTCATTTTGGGGCAAACACCCCACCCTACCTCCCGAAAAAAACATTAGTGGCAAGTAAAATTTTCTAATTCCCTTCATATAAATAGAACATCTTCTCATTTAAAAAAATATTTTCATTATAGAATTCAATTTTGAGATTATCAAGATAGTAATGTACAGACCTGGCATTTTCTACAGGTGTGAGCCAAACATCACCATTCTCAATGTCTACCACACAATGTTCAGGCATGATGCCCAGCCCAGACAGCTGTATATCCTGTTGTACCCTAGCATCTTGTTGTCCAACTAAGGTGTGGTCCTGAAAAATGGAAGTAAAACAATTAGGATCTGCATTATGCAAACTAATATATGAAATTATTGGTAAGTCTGAATCATCTGTCAGATCAATCGCAAATGCAAATATCCTAGAGAATTTATGACTAAAGTTTTACCCATCCCTCCAACTTCCAAAAGCCCAGCATAAAACACAGTTCCAATAACTAATCCAAGCCCAACACAAAACACAGTTCCACTGACTAGTCCCAGTCCAGCACAAAGCACAACTCCACTGAATAGTCCAAGTCCAGCACATAACACAGCTCCACTTACAAGTCAAAGTCCAGCACAAAGCACTGGTCCATTGAATAGTCCAAGTTTAGCACAATTAAAGTATAGAACAAAACTCAGTTGCACAACAAGTCCAACTCCAACACATAACACAATTAATTGACTTGTTCAAGTCCAGCACAAAACAAAGATTAACTACCTTTACAACACCACATGACTAATATGACTGCTTTAAACTAGTAAATTTGTCAGACAGTAAAGTATTGCTATTATTAGTTCTTGAAGAATTCAAAAAACTTTAGAAACAGACACAAAATTCAATATCCCGCATCATCATCTGATTGGTAATTTTTACAGAACTACTTTGTTTCCTTTAAACAGTGAGTAGGATTATAAAGAAAATTAAAACAATGTGTTTAATACTTAAATCTCCACAGAGAAGCTGATTAAAAAGTTTTCAGTGCAAACATCAGAGATGGAATCAGGTGCCATGTACATGATTTACTCTTTCTCTGGATAAAACAAGTCTAACAAAATTCAGATTATTTTCTTTTTAAATTATAGATAATAATTGGCTCTTTTAGGACAAAACTTGAGAAAATCAAACACTGTGACTTGGAGGGTGAAGTCAGTGATACAGGTATTGATTCCCACTCTGATGTTGTGTGAACCTGAGGTTCCTAATAAACATGACAATTCATCCTCTTGTCCTGACGTTTTCCTGCAGTCCATTATGTGAGTACTCTGGACATACTTAAAATCTTTATAAAATTTTGAAATTTAATTCACAAGAAAAAGTATGTGCCAGTATCTTGGCCACAGCTTTAGACCTACCGGGTCAGACACCAGTTATCTAGATTCTTACAAGGGGGCACTGACGAACACGGGCTTGCTGTTTTGGAGAGAGATTTTTTTTTACAGATTTTTTTTCTTCCATAAGTAATTACCCAATATTGTAAGGTCTGTTCCATGACTCTCACTCTACTATCAGGGCCATGTCATTATCTCAGGATATTGATATCACTTATCATGACCAGCCTGAAAAGATTATTTTTTCCTTTCTATATCCATGTAAAACTTTGATCCATTACTTAGACCCCACTCTAACCCTGGAAACCATCAAATTTCAATCTTATCGACCTGATCACGCTTCCATATTTTGGACAATCAATGATGAATGAACTCAATTATACAAAGAATAAATTCATGATAGTTTTACTTTGTTTCATAACAAACTTTTAATAGAAGTATTTAGATTCTGTAGTCTAATCTTTAAAAAACTTTGAGTTCTTTTAGTGAGTGCTCTACACAACTGAAAAATGTTTATATACATATATTTCCAATTCTAATTAAAAAAATTAGAAATGGAAATCTCGTGCAGCTGCCTTTGTGTTCAGTGGGTGTGGACTACTTCCACTATACCCAGTTGTGCACCTCACCCCAAAGGAACCACTGACCCAGGGGCCACAAATTTCAAATTTTGCAAATTTTATCATAAAATGGTTGATTAATATAAAATACATGGTTACTGTCTTGAAATTGGTATGATAGGAGGCTTGTCGAGCCCTCTTACGTTTTCGACCCGAGCCCAAATATCGTTATTTAATCTATGTCAACATTTTTAAAGTCTAAATCTACAATTTTATTTCACAATGAAATGGAAATATAAAGCTTTGGTTTATTAGGTTACCTTTATTAGGTCAATGCAAGGGGTAGTTAGTTAGTATAGTATGCCAGGGCATTAAAAAAACCCACTTTGCTAGATGCACCTTTCTTCATCATAAATATAATAGTATACTTTGCAGAACGGGCAAAGCCCGTTATGCACAAATTATCCCTGGTGCCATGTTTCCCACTATGTACTTAGTTATTTTATTTAATACCCAGAAGCAGAGAAGAAGATTTTCAAAGAATAATGCATTTTCACTGTATAATCAATGGCATACTAACTAACTAAACAGTGATTCCTTAAATAGTTCAATCTTCTAACACATAACACACAATTATATCTTTGTGCAAGTGTATGTGAATTCAATCAGATTTTACTCAATGAAATAAAACTTCACACAATACTTAATACCAAATAAATATACTACCTGCCCCAAAAATAAAATCCTATAAGTATTTTCAGAACTCTAGGAATGCTGTCTACATGGTCAGATCATGATTAATATTTCTCCATAGTATCAAGTTCCTAGTCCCTTCTTATAAACCCTAAAGTTCTATACATAAGATACATCCCTTGTTTAGTCCTTTCTGCACTATCAAACCTTATGACTCAGGACACAATATCATTATAAAGTCTTAAATACTATATCTCATGCTGACATTGAAACCTGATGCTGAATTTTTTTAAGATTAACAATGGTGGCTTATTCAGCTATAGATCTCGTTTTTAATCAGAGAGTATCATAGAGATTGGTGTTTTATTTCAACTGTGCACCAAATAGCTTTTTTATTAAATAAATATGGCAGTCTAACCTAAAGGTTTTTTTATACAATACAATGATTAGAGGGAAATGTAATACATGAGTGAATTCACAGTTATATTCTCCACTGCAAATTTCCCATGTCCATTTTTCTAAAAGTGACCTTGGGACTTACCAAAGAAATCTTTGTTTAAAAAAAAATGCATCTCCTGGTTTCGTAAATTCTCTGGTCATTATAATTATTACCTAAAAAGGAAATGATGACCTACCATTGATTGTGTAATTTAGCTGACAGGTTTCATACCAATGATAGAGCCTTAGTTTTTATACTTAATTTGACTACTAAATGTTTTGTCTACCTGGTCCATACATACGACCCATGGGGGCGTGACCGTTCAACAGGGGATGCCTATCCCTCCCACACGTCTACCTCTGGATTATCCTGGGGGCTATATTTTATGCAATGTTCACAGATTTGTATTAATTTAAGACAAAGAGTAGATTTCTTGCCATCTAGCTTTCTGTTTTTATCCCTCATAATAAAAAATTTGGAAAATATATTTTTTGCCCTTGTCCGTCTGTCTGTTTGACCAAAAAACTTTAACCTTTAAATTACCTACAACTTTTGATTGGTTAAAGCTATGGCTTTTATATTTCACACAAGTATTCCTTGTGACAAGACCTTCCTTTAGATACCAACAACTTTGACCTATTCATTCTGATTCATTTCATTATGTGATGATGTGTAAAGTAATTTTTCTTAATTCTTTGCTATTTGTGCATTTCTAAAAGAAATTGGCCATAATATATAGAGGTATATTCAAATGTTTTGTAATTGAATATGGAATTTATTTCATGAGTGGGACAGGATTTTCATGAGTGTGAAGCAGGAGTGAAAATATTAAAAAAATCCTGTCTCACGAATGAAATAAATTCCATATTCAACTACAAAACATTGAATTTTCTGTTTATTACATTTTCTTTGATTTTCCCTTTGCCTATTTGTCTTTTTGTATATATACAGTCATAGGCTCCATGACGTCATAGTTGAGAGGTTGAAACGTCATAGCTAAGTAATATGAGAATATTTACATTTGCAAATATCTTTCTTAGATGAACCTATTGAAGAGAAAATATGTTCAATTCTGTGTATATATTATTTGAGGGTCAGAGGTCATAGCGCGACCGAATTACAGAGCGAGGTGATATTTCTGTCACGGTGCAACTTGTTTTAGAATATATTTCTAAGTTAATAATGATAAAAAAGGTAAAATGATAAACAATATGGATACTTTTCAATCACGAGATGTACATGCAATTAATCTTCTTTTGATGTGAATAAGGTTTTGAATACTACACTTTAGCCTAAAACCGCACTTATCTTTTTTAACCCGAAATTCCTAATTGGAGTTATGTAAACTAAAACAGGCTTTTGATTTCAAGTAGTGGAGGTCCTAGAGGAATACTTGGATTATTGACAGTTGAATGATTGTTCTTTCACTATATACAGATATTTCCTGAACTGGACTGCTAAACCTGAATGTAAACATTGAAATGTTGGAACGAGGTAAACTAACTTTGACCAAACAATTCAATTAAGTATAAGTATAAATAGAATGCTTAAAAAGTTCACCTGCAAATTAACGTTTAGTTGTACGTTATCAAACTGCATGATAGCTTTCAATTTTCACAGGACTTGATCATACATCACCAACTAAAAGTTCATTTCCCAGAGAACTTTTTAACATTGTTGCTTATTTCTTAATTGAAAACATTGTAAACATGGATTTTAGCAACATATTTGGGAGAACTTTGGCAGTCTTATTCTCTGTCAGAATGGTTTATTTACTCTCTCTCTCTCTTTCTCTCTTATATTAGGCCAAGTATTAAAAAAAAACATTTTTCATTATGGAAAAAGAAAAACAAGAGTTTCTACGCACTTCTGATAATTGTCAAGCTTTAAAAGAGTTTCATTTTGATATCATTTCACACTGTGATCAATATCACTTTTTTTTCAAATAAATTACAGTATTTCACAGTTGGAAATGTAAAAAAAGATTTTGCCTATGAGACTCATGGGAATGTTCTCAAATCTGACTAATCCAAAGTCCTTTTATATGACAGGAATCTGAAAAGCATTTTTCTTAATTATACCTTTTTTCACCTTCAGAAATAATTAGGAATTGAATGTAAACATTAATTTATGCAGGTATAACTACTTGTTACCCTGTGATCTGATTTTCTTCCATAAAATTTGAATGCATGGAAACATGTTAATTAACAAACCTTGATGAACCTTGTGGATTTCTCCTTCAGATTTGGTGAATCATAGCAACATTTTAACTTTAAACTGGATGGCCTCCTTGGAGTCACACCTGACATAACAGTGCACATGGTCATTGTTAGAAAATCTCCAAGATTATTTAAGATCCAGAGTCAAACACAAATAACATTACAGTGTTTACATTTCCATATCTTAACAAAATCCATTTATATAAATACTAGTATGTGGAAATATACAGACACAATTTTTTGGTCATTTCATTTTTAGTATGAAAAAGAACATCCATTTTGATTGCACTTCCTCAACAGCAATAATAGAGTTGAACATAAAACCAGAACCAATACAGAAGATTTGTTGCACCAAGCTTTAAATTCTATGTTAGATCCACCCTGAATTCCCTAGATGATACTCTATCAGACATCAAACCCTGGTGCATTGACACTACACAATGACAATATTTACAGGCTCACTGCTCCCCTGAAGAGTGCTACCAAAGACTTTGATGCTGTAACAAGAAATTGATTTTTTTGTTGTTGATGGGCTTTGATATTCTACTGGCTACTCTTTTCTAACAAGAAACATATTTCTTCCAACAGAGGACAGTGTCTGCTTCTTGAGGTTTTCCCTTCCTTTGATGCTTATCCTCTTTGTTCGCACTGCTGCACCATTCTGCCATTGATTCTAAGATTGAACAGGCTACATTTCTTCCCCAGAAACTAATTTATAAAATAATAACAGACTTTATATATTGCAAAAATATTTTCCACACAGTTTCCGGATCAACAAAATGTTTCTGGAAAATTGAAATCCAAGATTGTTTTTCATTTAAAAGCATGTTTTTTTTTTTTTGTAGAATAATTGTTAGGCATATAGAAAAACAAGAAAATTAATTTATGGGTTTAAATAAAATGATGAGATTGATATTATTTTTGATTTCAAAATTAACTAGTGTTAATTGTAACGGGAACCGTTACAGATGTTCCCCAAACGCTCCCCATGTCCCTTTTCGTGCCTTATTCCTGTCAGACCTTTTATAAATATGCTAAGTATTCAAGGAGTTCATTTAAGAATATAAAAGTTACATTAATATCAACTCTATATCGTTTAACGTTTTGCATACACGCACACGTACATGTACATGCATATGCAAGATGATCATGGCATGTTGGTTAAGCGATTAACATATCTTTCTATCCCGCGAATTAAAGAAAAAATACAGATATAAAGTTACCATTTTTCAAGTATATGTCATTTTTTTAAAATACCTATTCACATTTTATTTAACTAATTTTAATCTCGGGCTCAAAGTTGGTTTTATTCCGACGACAAGGCAGGGTTAAAGTCGACTAAGGGTATCACGCCGATAGCTAACCAATCAAAATCAACTTATTCAGTTGTAGTTCCATACATGGAAAAGGGGATATCCTTTCTGTTCAGAATTTTTTTTATATTTCCTCTCAGGCCATTTTGACAACTCTGGTACCTATGCTTAGTAAATTTTATATACTTTGTAAATAAATATATAAAGGTTTTTGACTGGAACTATTCATTATTTCCAATGCATAGGAGGCTACTTTCCGGGATTTTCAAGTGATGTTTATAAAGATATTCGTGTCAGCTAATGGGACCAATATTGTTTAACACCTTCTTATTAATATTTTTTTCATGAATGCAAATACCTGATTTTTTTTACGAAGGAGCGTACATGTATAATGATTTTTAATATACCGAAAATCGCTACTTCAGAGGATTGCGTAATTTAAAAAATATTTAAATAAATTTCAAAGGTAAAATAAACAAAGGATGCTTGGTATTAAAATATTATTTTGAATCAGTAGAACTGAATGCTATTAAGGACATCTGAATAAATAGGATATTAAAGGCTTATATGCCAACTTTGTTCATCTGCAGTTTAATTTCAAACACGACAGGATTTGTAATTTTTTTTCCGTATAAGTTAATAATTTCTATATACTTTGGAAACTCACATCAAATATTTTAATACACTTTCCTCGAGCTCTTTTCTGCAGTTTCCCTGAAATTTTATGTGGGTCCGAGGTGTTATTTGAGCTTTAGAGCGATTCTCTACATTGCTATTATTTTGATTTGTGTGTGTGTGGGGGGGGGGGGGGTACTTTTATTCTTAACCTATTCAGCATGGGAGTTGAATCTTGTATCTTACTCCAAGAACTTAAGATTGATTGTGACATTTGGATGAAAGGTCAAGGTCATGAAAAAACCACCACCTCTTTAACTTCTATACTGCCAACCGAAATAAACTCTGAAAGGTGTTTCTAGATACATGTACATGTACTTCATGTTTCTTTTTACCCTTGGGTCAAGGTCAAAGGTTAAGGTCGATTTCAAGTTCATAGGTCAAGGTCATTTTGGTAAATAGCTAATATCAACATTTTATTCAGGTTACCAGTGACCTTGACCTAAGTTTCAGGTCAATGGTCAAAAGATCTGCTTCAGTATGTTACATGTCTTGACATTTAGAAGTTCTTAATTCTGCATGAACATCCAAAAC